GAAACAAGTTCCTCATTCCAGACCCAAAGATGTAATCTTTTTTTTGGTGCTTTTCTGCCCATATACTAAGCCAGGCACGGCAAGCTGTTTGGGGCTGTGAGGTCTGGAGCGCTTTTGCTCCCTCGCATGCTGCCGGCCTTTAATAAATGACGCCATAATTCGACTTTTTCTGAGGCGTCCTTTGTAAGGTGGGGGTTACACTACAACACTGAGTGGGACCTCCTGTCACTTGTGGTGCCTCCGTCCAGCCCAGGGCTGGCATCTGAGTCCAGTTCAGCTGAGGCTACAGCAGGAATAGACATAGACCAGGAAGCACATATCTGTAAATTCTTTTTTTATTTTTTAATATATTTTATTTTTTACAGAGAGGAAGGGACAGAGATAGAGAGCTAGAAAGATTGATGAGAGAGAAACATCGACCAGCTGCCTCCTGCACACCCCCTACCGGGGATGTGCCCGCAACCAATGTACATGCCCTTGACTGGAATCGAACCCGGGACCCTTCAGTCCGCAGCTCTATCCACTGAGCCAAACCGGTTTTGGCACATATCTGTAAATTCTTAAGTGGGGGTTGGGGGGTGGGGGGAAGGCAGAAGTCACAAAGGAAAAGACTGCTAGATTTCAGATGACCTAACAAAGTTATCATAAACAAAGATAAAAAGACAAATGACGTCTATAACATATATAATATCCAGAGTGTTCAAAGAATTTCCACAGTTCAATAAGAAAAAGACAAACTGTAGAAAAATGAACAAAGGATAACGAGATCATTTTATCTGTCAACGTTTTGGGGTTATTCTGGGTGAGATGAATATTTATTTATTTATTTATTTATTTATTTATTTATTTATTTTTTAAATCAATCTTCATTGTTCATATTGTTACAAAGGTTCCTCATTTCTTCCCCCCTCCACCAGGTTCCCATCCCACCCTCCGCCCCCTCCCCATCCCCCATTGTCCTCATTCATAGGTGCAGTTTATGTTCAATCTCTTCCTCCCTCCCTTTCCCCGATAGTAAATCCCTTTTCAGATAGTAAATCAGTTACTTAGCTTTTTCTCATATCAATAATACCACCACATGCCCAATGATACATTTCACACAAAAGACATTTCCAAATAGGTCAACCAGCCTCATCCAGGCCCCACCCAAGGCACTCACAGATCAACACAGATCAACACCCCAGCCCTATACTAACTCAACACATCCAGATCTAAGCCTTCATCACTTGATTCAGCAGACCCTCAAGTTCCTGCAAAAGTTTCCAGCCATGTCTGAGAGGCAGCCGTGGGGCAGGGGCAGGTGAGGAGCGAGCTGTTCCGGGCCTGGCTGCTCTGGGCCTGGCCTCTGTTGCTCTGGTTTGTTCCACAACCAGCTGCTCCGGGTCTGGTCACCGCCGCTCCCGACCTAGTTGCTCTGGACCTGGCTGCTGTTGCTCCGGGCCTGGCCACACCCGACCTGGCTGCTTTGGGCCCGGCTGCTTCGGGCCCGGCCGCTCCGGGCCTGGCTGCTCCCAGCCTGGCAGCCACTGCTCCGGGCCTGGCCGCACCCGACCTGGCTGCTCTGGGCCCGGCTGCTCCAGGCCCGGCCACTCCAGGCCTGGCCGCTCCCAGCCTGGCAGCCGCTGCTTCGGGCCTGGCCGCATCAGACCCGGCTGCTTTGGGCCTGGCCGCACCAGACCCAGCTGCTCCGGGCCTGGCTGTTCCTAGCCTGGCAGCTGCTGCTCCAGGCCTGGCTGCACGAGATGAATATTTAAATAGATCAATTTTGTCCGAAACAAATTGCCCACCATCATGTGGGCCATCCCCAATTTAGTTGAAGGCCTGAACAGAACAAAAACAAGAGGAAGTGTCTCAGCCACTGCCTTTCACTTCGTCTGCACCATCTGCTCCCCTGAGTCTCCGGCCTGCCGGGTTAGCCCGCAGGTTTTGGACTTGCTAGCTTCCATAATCATGTGAGTCGATTCCTTTTAATAATTCTCTTTCTCTGTACTAGCAATTAGTTCTGTTTCTCTGGAGAACCCTGACTGATGCAGCTAAGAACAGGCAATTCACGGAAGACATACATAAACAGAATAAGTATATGCACAGATACTCAGCTTCACTAGCGATCAAGGAGATGCAAATAAAACAACCAGGAAATATCTTCGACAGATTGGCTAAAAAAAAAATTAAACTGGCATATCCAATGTTGGCGAGTAAATGGGAAATAAGTGCCCCCAAACACCATGACTGGGAGTGTAAACTGAAAAAATTTTAAGTCAATTTGTCATAAACATTTCAACTATGCAGAACCTTTATTGAGCATAAGTTACATTTAGGAATTTAACCCCACCATGTGCACTCAGACACATCTTCACAAATATTCATTGCATAATTATTGGTAACTTTAAAAAATTGGAAACACAGCCCTGCTGGTGTGGCTCAGTGGTTGAGCATTGACCTATGAACCAGGAGATCACAGTTCAATTCCCAGCCAGGACACATGTCTGGGTTGCAGGTTCAGTCCCCATTGTGGGGTGTGTAGTAGGAAGTTGATCAATGATTTTCTCTCATCATTGATGTTTTTATCTCTCCCTCTCCCTTCCTCTCTGAAATCAATAAAAATATATCTAAGAAAGAAGAAAAGCTTTAAAAAATTTAGAAACACGTAAAAGCTCATTACATGATACTGATTAAGTAAACTATATAAAATTTATAGCATGAAATACTTGACAACTGTCAAAAAGAAACTAATAAATAAGTGGAAAGACATCCCATATTCATGAATAGGGAGACTTAATATTGTTAAGATGGCAATACACCCCAAATTGACCTATAGATTCAGTACATTTCCTATTAAAATCTCAACTGTCTTCTTTGCAGGAACTGATCCTAAAATTCACATAGGAATTCGAGGGACTCAGAATTATTAACAAAAAAATATTGAAAAAGAAGTTGGAGGACTCCCACTTCTCCCAATTTTAAAACTAGCTTCAAAGCTATGGTAATCAAGGCAGGGTAGTACTGACGTAAGGACAGACACCTGGTTCAGTGGAATAGAACTGAGAGTCAGAAATAAGCCCTCACATTTATAGTCAACTGAGTTTGTCAACATTAAAAATTACAAGGCCTGGTCAAAGCGGGCTGGGAGGGCTCAACGAATAAGGAAAATCTTTGTGTGACTCTGGAACTTTGCTTTTTTGGTTCTGTTTTGTTTTTGTTTTTCTTCCCTGATCACAAAATGATTCTCCCTCCTTAAAAGCAAAAAGGAGAGAGAGAGAGAGAGAGAGATTGATTCCTGAGTTAGAAGGTATAAGGATACTGTAGTGTTTCTTTTTTTTAAATATATTTTATTGATTTCAGAGAGGAAGGGAGAGGGAGAGAGAGATAGCAACATCAATGATGAGAATCATTGACTGGCTGCCTCCTGCCCGACCCCTACTGGGGATCGAGCATGCAACTCAGCATGTGCCCTTGGCCAGAATCAAACCTGGGACCCTTCAGTCCGCAGGCTGACGCCCTATCCATTGAGCCAAACCAGCCAGGGTCGTAGTGTTTCTTGAGAAACAGGGGGCGGTTCTGCAGTCTTCAGGGGCCCTATGCACTCTCCAAGGAAGTGAAGGTTCACTGTATCCATTTAAAATATATATTTTGTTGATTTCAGAGAGGAAGGGAGGAGAGAGATAGAAACATGAACGATGAGCAATGCTGGCTGAGCAGATAATAGGCAGTTCTTGAATGAGAATGGACCACCTTCCAAGGTTGACTCAGGTCCAAAGTTGACTGCCAGGTCCAAGGTTGACACCTGAGTCCCAGGGGCGTACAACTTCCATTCAGGTTAGAATGTCCTTTCTTTCATCGGAACAAGGCAATCACGTTAACAGAAGAGCATGATTAGTATTTCTTATACTTATAGCTAGTCACCAATATTCTATTATTGCCCCTAATATCACCAGTGTGCAGAACAGTCCCAGTTCTCAGCAGGAGCTTTACCCGCTGTCTGGTTCCTCCCTAGCCCCAGGCTGAGCACACTGCCACACAATTCCTCAGCCCTGCCACTCCTTCCCTATCCAGAATCGGATTTGTCCCCGACCCCAATCTCACCCTCAGCTCAAGCTCTTCGCTTAGCCTACAGCACTCTTCATTCCTTTCTCCAAGGCTCAGCACCAGGCTTGCTGTGGGCCTCTCCTCTCTCCTGGTGAGTCTCCCCATCACCAGCCTCGGTCTGGGCTGGGCCCTTGGGCACGGAACAGTCTGCTTCCTACGGCTGGCTAACCTGTGCTGCCCATTTCTCTCTCCACCCCAGCCATGTCAATTCCTGGAAGGCAGCGCTACCTGAAACTACAAAGCCACTCCCACTTGGCATCCATCCCCCTGCCTGACCCTGCACCAGGCACCCATGACATTGAACTTGGCATTCAATCCTTGCCCAAGGCTGTCCTTTCCATCTCGTTTCTTAATGCTCTTCCCCACAACCCCTGTCCAGCCACTTCTCCAATTTCTCCCACCTGCGTTAAAACCTTCTGACTCAGCTCAAAAGGGTGCCCCGGAGATGGAATTAAATCTCTTCTTCCCGGTTACTGCTGTTTCCCTACGCACACCGTGCACTTGGCACACGACCATGTATCTTAAATTAGATGGAATCTGAGTCTGTCTCCCTCCCACACCCCATGCCCTCTGTGGGCACCTTGAGAAAAGGGCCCGAGTGCTGTTTATCCCTGCCCTCACAACTCTCTTTCAGCCCAACGTGCAATCTGAGTTTGTTGAATAGAAACGAAACAGGATGGACAAGGGTCCCAGATCCAGAAGCGAACATCCCGCAAACACCCTTAAATTTAAACTCTAAGAAGCAGCTCCTTTGGCTGCTGTCAATGTCTGCAGCCCGGCGCCCGCACCAGGCAAAGAGCCAGCCGGGGCGTCCGTCACATGATCCTCCCGTCACATGATCCCTAGGAAAGGGGGCGGGGAGTGAATGGAGCAGAAAAGAAGCACGGCATTCTAGGATGGCCCCGCCTCTACGTCGACGAACAGCCAATGGGAGCTCGACAACCCGGACACCTGACCAATGGGAACTGAGGTGGGCGGGGTCATCGCGCTGCAGGGCCCGGGTCCGTGAGCTACGGGATTGCTGGTGCCCAGCGAGCGCGGAGCTGGACGCAGGTAAGGAGGTCGCAGCGCGGAGCTCTCGCTCGCTCTTTCCCAAGGCCCCGGCCGCAGGGACGGCGGGGAGGGGGGGGGGCAGAGGAGGGCGGGGGGCGTGTGGAGGCTTGAGTTTATTTCGGGAGGCAAGAGAAGACGCTGAGAGTGTTGTCTTTGGGGTCTGCGGTGCAGGGAGGGTGTTGAAGGGTGGCGGCAATCTAAGCAGAATGGCAGTGATCCCAGTTAGCAGGGGCGCTCTTTCTCTACCTGCTAGCATTCCGCAGGCTGCAGCCCCTTCCCCTAAAGCAGGGACCCTCTGTTTGAGCCGGCTCCGCCTCCCCCGTCTGGTTGCAGCGGTGTGGTGGTAGGTAGATAGGTAGGTAGGTAGACGGTCTCCCGCAGCCGGGGACGGGAGAGGCGCCCTCCCTGGCCCCGGGCGCAGAGGACTGGCAAGGAGCCTGGAGACCCTGGCCTCCTCCGAGGACTTGGCAGTGGTTACGCCTGGCTCTCTCTTACTTCCTTTCTTGTGGGTTGGGACAAGCTAACTTCCGCCTCTCCGCCACTTTTTTCCTCGCTCACGCGCCTCGCTGTTGGGTTGGTTCGAATGTTGGGAATCGCGTGCTCCTGACACTCAGAGTGGGGGGTGCCACCTAGTGGAAGACGACAGAGATGGGGCTGGAGGAGGCTCCGGTCTCCCTCTCGGAGTTGGCAGTGTGCATGGGGTGGGGTGAGAGGGGCCGCCTCTCAAAGCCCACCAGCGGGGAATCAGGCTCCCAGCTCCCCCATCTCCGGTCCTGATTGTGTGTGCTTGCATGTGTACTCAGTAGACACATATGTATTCAATAGACACATAGCTCTGTACTGACCTCAGGATACCCAGGAAGGGAAATAAATCAGTAGGGACCTGAATACTCTGACATCTGCGCTGGCACGCCTAAGCCAAGCAGTGGGCGGGGCGAGCGGCAGGTCCCTGGCCTGGGAGCTGTGGGTGTGGAGGGGAGACTGCGAGGGGCTGAGGTCTAGGACAGTGGTCCTCATCCTGGCCTGGCCAGGAGCTGCGGAGGGGCGACTTCGGAGGCTCTCATATCAGCCGTGGCAATTCCAGCGGTGGCAATTCCAGGGCTGCATCCTGGCAGCTTCTGCTCAGGAGATGCTTCCGTCCCCTTCCTCCGCTTGGACCCGAGGCCTCTACCCTCCTGGGGTTTGTGCTCCATCCCAGGCACTGTGCGTGGTGCCAGGAGAAATGAACCCAGGCCCCATGTGCTCTGGAGCCATCACTGCCTGTCACCTCTAGCACTTGGTATATGACATGGGCATGTTATGTAGCATCTCTGAGTCTCAGTTTCCTCCTTTGAAAGGAAAGGAAAGGTCGGATGGTGGTTACGAAGGAGAAAGAAAATGTGGATTGCTTACACTGGCTCCTAAGAGGCTCAACAAACACTGCCTTTGCCCCTCGAGGCAGGGTAACCTCTGGGCCCGGCCTTGAACCAGAGGGCTGGCTGAGCTGGGGGGAAAGCTGTTTAGGAAAGGAGAGGCTGTGCCCATCCCTGGGCTGAAGCTGGTTCCTCCTGCTGACCCCAGGGCGGGCTCTCGTGGGCTCTGCACGTGCAGCTGCGTTTCGGCCCAGGATATCGGCAAGGGCGGGAGGCTGTGTTTGGAGAGTCTGGAAGGTCCCGGTGGAGTTGAGGGCCCTTTGAACACAGGCCGGACCCAGCCTGTGTGTCCCTTTCCCCTGGTGGGGGGGATGGTCAGTGAGCAGGCCGTGACTGGCCTCTGGGGAGGGCAGCCCAGATTCCACTTCCCTTTTCTCGTTCCTCAGCCCCGTGGTTTCCCATGTTGTCATGTGACAGCCCCTCCGCCACCTGCAGGCCTGGGCAGGGTGCAGGTGTGAGCACAGCGTCAGGCAGGGAGATGCAGAGGGGCGAGCTGGGAAGTGAAACCCTGGCTTTTCCTCTCAGGGACTCGGTCCTTGCACCAGTGTGTCTTCCCGTGGCTCCTGATGCCTCCCTCACTCCCCAGAGGCAGCCCAGACCCACAGGTCAGACCCACAAAACCCACAAGCCTTCCGGACGCTCACATGACATTTCCACACATTCACCCACGATCGGCCACATGTTGGGGACACAGATTCACTCATACTCATGTCAGCATTTACGTTCATGGGTGTGCACGCACTCCGGCGTGTGACACGCACACGCGGGACCCATGTAGGAAGTGGGATCTCGGGCCCCACATCCTGCTTCCTCCCCGGATGAGGCGCTGTCCAGCAAGCTCCGCGGTCCCAGGCCCGGGCCTAGGAGGAGACTGGCTCCAGAACCAAGGGTGGCGCGCACCCAAGCTAGTTGCCAAATGCCTCTTGGTGTTTTTGCAGGTGGATCATGTGGACCCTGGTGAGCTTGGTGGCCTTAGTGTCAGGGCTGGCGGCTGGGACGCAGTGTCCAGATGGTCAGCGCTGCCCTGTGGCCTGCTGCTTGGACCCAGGAGGAGCCAGCTACAGCTGCTGCAACCCCGTGGCAAGGGCCTCAGCTCAGGCAAGCGCTGGCAGCCGGGGTTTCCCAAAAGGTCCTGCTGGGTGGGCCAGGGGACGCGGCCAAACCCGGGTCCTTTGGTTTACCCTCTCCTCTCTTCCAGGACGAGTGGCCCACAGCGCTCGGCAGGCGCCTGGGCAGGCCCTGCCAGGTGGATGCCCACTGCTCTCCTGGCTACTCCTGCCTCTTCACTGTCTTGGGGACCTCCAGCTGCTGCCCCTTCCCGGAGGTGAGGGCGCCCCCAGCTCGATGGAGGGGCTCAGTTCTGTGTTTCCCCCGGGTAGTCGGGCCTCGTCAACGCCGGCATCTCTGTGTCCCATAGGCTGTGTCGTGCGGGGATGGCCGCCACTGCTGCCCCAGGGGCTTCCACTGCAGTGCGGACGGGCAGTCCTGCTTCCGGAGACCAGGTGCAGTACGGGGGGAGGGAGAGGGCAGGCAGAGGGGCAGCGTGGAGAGCTGGAGCACCCAGCGGCCCCGCGGGCTGGGTGACCCTGATTTCTGCTCTCATGTCCTCGTTCATATGGCGTTTGTACTGAGCACGCCCCCTGCTCTGGGTAGAGGGGCAGCCCTGGGGCTGAGAGGGGGAGGGGGGCACTCGAGCCCACAGGCCTAGAGCCAGGCATTGCAGGGGTGGGGAGAAGCCAAACTGGGCTGGTTTGATGCCACCCCAGTCAACGGATGCCCCTGTCCGGTGCCGTATTTCTGAAGCAAGGCCTGGCCTGTGGGAGAGTGGTTTCAGAGTGCCTGGGGTCCTGGCTGGGTGGCCGAATAGGTTGGATCATTGTCCCTTCTCTCTAAAATCAGTAAAAACATATCCCTGGGTGAGGATTTTTAAAAAAGTGCCTGAACCCTAGTGCCAGCTCCCCCCCGGAGTGTAGGCCCTGTGCCTGCAGCTCCTTGGGTGACGGAGGCAGTGACCCTCACGGCCGGGCTGTGGAATCCCGGCTCTTCCTCTCCACAGATGCCAACCCCTTGGGTGCTGTCCAGTGCCCCGGCAGCCAGTTCGAGTGCCCCAACTCCTCCACGTGCTGCATTATGGCTGACGGCGCCTGGGGGTGCTGCCCCATACCCCAGGTACAGGTTTGGGAAGGTAAGGGAGGGAGGGGGGCAGCAGGAGCAAAGCGGGGGGCTGGAGAGGCCCAGGACAGAGTCAGGACCGTCTCTTCTCAGGCTACCTGCTGCGAAGACAAGGTGCACTGCTGCCCCCGGGGTACCACCTGCGACGTGGCCCATACCCGCTGCCTCACGGCCACGGGCTCCCTCCCCCTGGCAAAGAAGGTCCCGGCCCGAAGGACTAACTCAGCAGGTGGAGAGATGGGTGGGGGTTGGGAGGAAGGAGAGGAAAAGTCCCCCTCTCCCCTGGCTGCCCCGCCCCTCACACCGCTCTCCCCTCCCTCCCAGGGGTCCTGTGCCCAGACGGACGGTCCCAGTGCCCTGACGGCTCCACCTGCTGCGAGATGCCTAGTGGGGAGTACGGCTGCTGCCCAATTCCGAATGTGAGTGAGGGGCTGTCCCCAGGTGGGCTCCGTGCCCACAGCCACCAGCCTGGACCCCTACCTGGCAGGGATTCCAAGGGTCCGAGGTTGGCTGACAGGTCCCTGGGAGCCTGGCTGCTCAGGACATACGCTACACCCCCTAGTGGGGGATTGGGGTAGTGCCAGCTGTCGGCCTGACTTCCTTGTGCTCCACCGGAAGCCACAAAGACCCACCCTTGCCTCCCTCCGCCCAGGCCATCTGCTGCCCCGACCACCTGCACTGCTGCCCCCAGGACACCGTGTGCGACCTGGCCCAGAGTAAGTGTCTCTCCCAGGAGAACACCACGGACCTCCTCACCAAGCTGCCGGCTCGCAGAGGTACCAGAAACAAGCTCTCCCGCCTGCACCAGGGGGAGCGCTCCACCAGGCCATTCCCGGAGCAGATATGGGGGCGGGCACTGGTGGCTGCAGGGAGGGGCCAGGGCAGGCACAGCCCCCTTTCTCCGCACTGGGCTTCCATCCTCAACCTCGATGGAGCCCACAAAGGGGGTGACCTCCGGGGGGCCCCCCGTGCCACTTCTGACATATCCTCCTTGCCCGGCTCCCAGTGCAGGAGGTGAAGTGTGACACGGAGACCAGCTGCCCCGAGGACTACACCTGCTGCCGCCTCCCGACAGGAGCCTGGGGCTGCTGCCCGTTTGTCCAGGTGCCCGGCGTGGTGGGTGGGCCGGGCTGAGTGGAGGGGGGGCAGCGAGCTAGGCCCCTGGGCCTACCGCCCCTGCTCTGTCCACCCCAGGCTGTGTGCTGTGACGACCATGTGCACTGCTGCCCGGCTGGGTTTACGTGCGACACCGAGAAGGGCACCTGCCAGCAGGCAGGCCGCCCGCTGCCCTGGCTGGAGCGGGCACCCGCCCGGCTCAGCCCGCCCGGCCCCCGCGCCGCGGGGAGCGATGTGCCCTGTGATGACGTCACCAGCTGCCCCGCCTCCACCACCTGCTGCCGCCTCTCGACTGGAGAGTGGGGCTGCTGCCCCGCCCCCGAGGTGCATGGGCACCGGGGTAGCATGGGGGGGCCTGGGCTGGTGGCCAGACTCCTGTGACCTTGCTCCTCTGCTCTCTGCCTGGCTGCCGCTGGGAGAGGCGAGCGGAGAGGCAGAAGGGGAGGGGGGCGCATGGCTTCCTGGGTCACTCGCCCCGCCCCTTTCTCCCCCGCCAGGCCGTCTGCTGCTCGGACCAGCAGCACTGCTGCCCCCACGGCTACGCGTGCGTGGCTGGGGGCCAGTGTCAGAGGGGGGACCGGATGGTGGCGGGCCTGCGGAAGGTGCCCGCCTCCCGGGCTTCCTCGTCCCAGCGCAACGACACGGACTGTGACAAGCACACCAGCTGCCCCGTGGGGCAGACCTGCTGCCAAAGCCTGAGCAAGAGCTGGGCCTGCTGCCGGCTGCCCCACGTGAGTGCCCGCCGCCCCCGGGGAGGGGGGCCGAGCCCTGGGGGCGGAGGGGACAGCCCAACGCCCCTCTGTCCCCCCAGGCTGTGTGCTGCGAGGACCACCAGCACTGCTGCCCCAATGGGTACACCTGCAACGTGAAGGCCCGGACCTGTGAGAAGGCGGTGGATGCTGCCCACCTGCCCCTGGGCCTCCCTGTGGGCGTGGGGGACGTGGAGTGCGGTCAGGGGCACTTCTGCCACGATAACCAGACCTGCTGCCGGGACAGCCGCGGGAGCTGGGCCTGCTGTCCCTACCGCCAGGTCAGTGCCGCCCCCCGCCCCGGGTCTGGTCTGGGCCTGGCCGGGTCCCGCTCTAACCCGCGTGCCCGCCCCCGACCACCCAGGGCATCTGCTGCCCCGACCAGCGCCACTGCTGCCCCGCTGGCTTCCACTGCGGGGTCAGGGGCACCAAGTGCCTGCGCAGGGAGACGCTGCGCTGGGACGCTCCTCAGAGGGATCCGGCCCCACGAGAGCTGCTGTGAGGAGACTGGGCACCAGACACTCCAACGCCCCCGGGACCCCGCGCAGAGGGTACCGCTGCTCAGGCCGCCTATCACCTCTCCCCGACCACATTCTCCTGGACTCTCCGTCGGAGTCCCCCATCACTGAGGGGGGCCCCCATCCAAGGCCTTCCCTGTCACTCGGGGAGCTGTGGCCAAAGCCACGTTACAAGCTGCCATTCTCTCTCCCGGTTTCTACGGACCCTGTGGCCAGGTGCTCTTCCCTATCCGCAGGTGTGTGTCTATGTGTGTGCGTGTGTATGTGTTCCAATAAAGTTTGTACACTTTCTTAATAGCGTCTGATTCGGCCACCGTACCTGCCCTCCCCTCCATCCAGCACCCACATCCCCTCCACCCCACAGACACACACAGCATCAATCTCACCAGTTTTGTATTTGCTGCTGCCCACAGCGGCCCAGTCCCATCCTCCCGCTCCCCAGAGCCTCCCAGCCTCTAGCCCTGGGCCTCGGCGGGCCCGTCAGCAAGCGGCCACCCTCCCTTCCCAGGGGTCCACAGAGAACCTGCCCTCCCTTCCCAGTCCTCCTACCAAGCGCTCAGGCCTGGCCGCCCCTCCTGCTTCCTCACAATAGAACTTTCTATGTCTATGTACAGCCACGTTTATACAGGCACTGCTCGCCCCCCTCCCCTCCCGCCTCCCCAGCGCCTCCCAGGGGGGCCTGGACCCCTCCCACCGCCTTCCCTTCGCGGAGACAGACACGGGGTCCCCCCAGGCCATCCATCATTACCCAGCACATACCACAGACAGCTCCGCGGGCCTCGGCGCCTTTCCCCGCCCAGCCAGCGCTAAGAGCGGGCGCCCCCGCAGCTCCTCGGGGCGCGCACCCCGGGGACGGGCCCGGCGGGCCGGGCAGCGCCAAACCCGCGGGCGGGGCGGGATCCGGGGGCGGCGGCCGCGCTACTTGACGTTGAAGACCATCAGCGGCCGCTCCTCGCGCCGCTGCCACGGGCTCTTCTTGTCGCCCGCCTCGTCGCCCGCCTCGGCGCCCAGCTCGTCCTCGGGGCTGGTGAGCGAGTCGCGGCGCAGCTCGCTGGCGCTGCTGCGGGAGCTGTCCCCGCGGCTGCGGCCCCGGCCGCGGGGCACCGTGGCCGCCCGGCCCTCGGGGGCCGCCACCTCGTCCAGCAGCGGCGTCAGCGAGTTGTCCTCCGGGGAGCAGAGGCCCGTGCGGCTCTCGCTGCTGCTGGGCTCCGTGTCCTCGCTGAGCGCCAGGCGCGGGGGCGCGGGCGGCGGCGGCGGCGCGGCGGCCGGGGCGCGCTCCCGCTCCCGCTCCCGCTCCCGCTCGTCGCGCGGGGGCCGGCGGCGCGCGGGCCGCGCCTCGTGCACGTCGACGCCCGAGTCCAGGCTGGCGTCGGTGCTGCGGCCGCCGCCCGCCTGCAGGTCGATGTAGGAGTGGCGCACCTGCGAGTTGGAGCGCCCGTCGAGGGACACGAACCAGGCGCGCGGGTGCGGCTTCACGCCCAGCTCCAGCAGCTTCTTCTCCGTCAGCGCCTGCAGCTCCCCGTTGAGCTGCGCCATGGTGGACTCGTTGAACAGCACCGGGATGGTGACCGAGCCGCTGACCGGCGCCGAGCGCCCGCCGGCCCAGCCCTCGCCGCCGCCGCCGCCTACGCCCCCGCCGCCCTCGCCCCCCGCGCCCGCGTGGCCCGGCATCAGCGGGCGCTGCGAGTCGGGCTGCGGGAAGGGGCGCGCCGGGCCGGGGGCCGTGCCCTCGGGGGCGAGGGGCTCGTCGCCCGCCCCCGCGGCCCCCGCCTCGCCGCCCAGGCGCACGTAGTGCGCGGGGATGACCAGGGTGGGCATGACGTTGCGGTAGACGCTGTCCTTGAGGTGGTCGATGGAGCCGCAGAAGATGAGCTGCCCCGCCTGGCCGAGCGGCGGCCGCGCCAGCTGGTCCGCGGACTGCGACAGCAGGAAGTCGGGCGCCTTGCTCTCGGCCGCCCCCTTGTGGCCCAGGTAGTGCTCGAAGGGCGGCGGCGGCGAGGGCGGCTCCGGCAGGAAGGCCGCGGCCCCCGGGGGCCCCCGCCGGTACTCCTCCAGGCCCGGCTCCAGCCCGCCGGCGGCCTCCGCGGGGCGGGCGCCCTTCGGCCCCACGCCCTCGCCCCCGCGGGCGCCCGCGGGCTCGGCGGCGGCCGGGCGGCAGACGGAGCGCGGCTTGGCGCGGAAGAAGTCATCCCGGGAGCCGGCCAGGTCGCGGGAGCTGGAGAAGGCGGAGTGCAGGGGGCCCGGGGGAGGCGCCTCGGGGTCCCCCGGCGGGGTGGGCTCCAGGGGCCCCCCGCAGATGAGATGGAGCTGGGACATGGAGGTGGCCTGGTCTCGCTTGCTGCCCTCGGAGGGCCCAGACAGCTGCAGCTTGCGGTGCTGCTGCCTGGGCTTTAGGCAGCGCCTCCTGCAGAGAAGGCAGACGGGTCCTCAGGAAAGGGTCCCGCCAGAGCAGCTCCCTTACCCACAGCGGCAAGAGGAGGGGTTGATGCCAAAACCGGTTTGGCTCAGTGGATAGAGCGTTGGCCTGCGAACTGAAAGGTCCCGGGTTCGATTCCAGCCAAGGGCATGTACCTTGGTTGCGGGCACATCCCCAGTGGGGGGTGTGCAAGGGGCAGCTGATCGATGTTTCTAACTCACTGTTTTATTGATTTTTTACAGAGAGGAAGAGAGAGGGATAGAGAGCTAGAAACGTCGATGAGAGAGAAACATCGACCAGCTGCCTCTTGCACACCCCCTACCGAGGATGTGCCCGCAACCAACGCACATGCCTCTGACCGGAATCAAACCTGGGACCCTTCAGTCCGCAGACCAACGCCCCACCACTGAGCCAAACCGGTTTCCGCTCAATAAAATATATTAAAAAAAAGAAAAAAGAAAAAAAAGAGGAGGGGTTGAAATAGCTGGAAGGATGGGGACAATGCCTGGGACTAAAACACCCATAAGCTTGTGACGGAGCTTGTATGTCAGTGGGAGGCCCAGCTAGCAGCTGTGCCCATTTGTGTCCCTTCCGGGTACCCTGCCTGCGCAGCAGGAGATGCATGAGCGCCGGGGAGGAGGTCCGAGCTGGGGTCCCATGGACGTGAGAGTTGGGCTGGGTGTCTCTGGGGCCTGCCCCGCAGCTCCTGCCTCATCTCCCACTTCTCTCAGGCCACCAGCCTGCCGGTCTCTGCCTGTGCGCACCCCCTGCTTTCCAGTCAGTGCTCTGAAGATCAGGTTGTGCTTTTTTTCTTTTTTAAAAATATATCTTATTGATTTTTTACAGAGAGGAAGGGAGAGGGGAGGGATAGAGAGCTAGAAATATGGATGAGAGAGAAACATCGACCAGCTGCCTCCCACACCCCTCGCCCCCACCGGGATGTGCCCGCAACCAAGGTACATGCCCTTGATCGGAATCGAACCTGGGACCCTTCAGTCCGCAGTCCTACGCTCTATCCACTGAGTTAAACCGGTTTCGGCAGGCTGTGCTCTTATGCATTTCAGAGGCCTGAGCACCCCACACACGGCCAGGCATAGGGCAGGCCTCCGTCGGCACCGGAGTGGGGAGAGGGGTCTGGGTCTCGCTCACCGGCAATAGTAGATGAGCAGACACAGCAGGATGAGCACCAGCAGAGCCAGGGCTGCCAGGATGGTGAGCAGGAAGATGGTGTGGTAGGTGCCGATGTCCTGGATGCCTGTTGTGATGGTGACCAGGCCTGTGCCAGGCGAGGGCTTAGCGCTCCCGGTGCGGATGCCCTTCCTGCCTTTCAGGAGGGATCCGCTCCCCCAGCCTCCCCTTCGCCCGCTGCCCCCTGGCCCCCCTGCCACACTCTCACCGGTCGTGGGGGAGGCCATGGCAGCTGCCCAGTACCCCAGCTGCGGGGAGACAAAGGTCCAGTAGAGCTGCCGGCCCTCCTTCCGGATCACGCCAGTGCCGTTCCGCACCCACAGCCCTGGAGAGGCGGGAGTTGCGTCAGAGTCAGTGTCCTCCCCTCTGAGTCTCTGTCCCCAGACCTCAGCCCCAGGCAACTCCCCGAGGCACTCACCACTCTTGGGGTCAAACCTCCAGGCGGGAATGCTGGTGCCCACGGCGAGGGCGCGGGGCTCGGAGGGCACGGGCAGAGACAGGTGAATGGGGCCCGAGAGGGGCACCTCCGTGCCGTTGCCGGTCAGCAGGTGCACGCTCACGGCAGCCAGGGGCATCAGCTCCAGCCAGGAGCCGTTGCCTGGGGAAGGGGACCGGAGCTGAGGGACAAGCCCTCAAGGCAGGGACACCCCCCCATGCCGGCAGCCAGCGTACCTGAGCCAGAGGCCTCAGTGCCCAGGAAGGCAGGGAAGGCCCGCATCTCCTGCTGGGTGCTGGCGGGGGTGAGCGAGGCCCAGAGCTGGCTGTAGGTGGAGCTGACGGGCAGGCGGGCAGCCCGCCGGTGGAACTGCACCCAGGGCTGGGAGCGGGCGCCTGGTGGAGAGAGGAGGGGCTGCAGTGGCCTTGCCAGGGACAAGGCTGCCCGGAGACCAGAGCAGAAAGCAGGTGTCTGAGGAGAGGGGGAGCCAGCGGGTCAGGCCGCTCAGGCCAGGGAGAGAGGGTGGGGACTTGGGAGAAGACTGGGCAGTCCTAGAATGTGAATTCGGAGGGGATGTGGACCGGAGACCTGGTCCTGGCTGTGTGACCTGCAGCAAGTTGCTTTCTGAACCAGTTTCCTTATCTAATGAAGAGGGAATATGCTAATTGACCATCATGCCCTCACAAAGATAGCAGTCAAGAAGGAGGGGATATGCTAATTGTTGTCACTCCCTCAAAGATGGCAGCGCCCACAGCCACAAAATGGTGGTGCCCAGTCCCTCAGCCCCGCTGGGGCGGCAGGCACGTGGCACAGCCAGGTCTGCCCCCTGGCAGGTCTGGCCGCTCCATGTGCCTGCCTTGGGAATCTTCCAGTCTCCTCAGCTGCTCAGGGCCGACCCGAGGTACAGGCAAGCCTCAGATGGCAGCTGCCCAGCCACCCAGGGCTGCCGGAGGCTTGCGCTTCCAGCAGTGGCAGCAGCAGAGGTGTGATGGAAGCACCGTCTTCCCCTGATCGCTGGGTCGCCTCCACCCCTGAGGGCTCCTGGACTGTGAGGGGGCAGGCTGGGCTGAAGGATCCCCTCTCCAGTGCATGGATTTTCATGCACCAAGGCCTCTAGTCTATAATAATAAAAGCATATACATGCTATAATAATATGCTAATGAGACCGGACAGCCGAACAACCTTCTGGATGTCCTTCCAGACGAAGCTGGGCTGCGAGGGCCAAGCCACTCGGTGCATTTCGTACATCAG